CTCCCGACGAAACGAAACAAAACAAACGGAATTGGTCGTAGTGGGGATCTTGCGCGGTTGTTCTGTTTCACAATCAGAGTGGCTACAAGGGGAAGATCAAAGCGGCTTCAGGTCCGTGCGATGTGTGCGCGTTGCTGGATCAGCGGCACTGAGAGCGTATGTGGCTAACATAATCAAGCCGGCCGAGACATCAGAGCGAGCTCGAATTAGCGTTATAACTTCGTGATTCGTTGTCTCGCTTACATCGGCGAATACGTCGGCGAGGATCTGCGAATGCGAGAAACGACGCGGGAAGCTGCGATCGCGATTCGCGAAAAGAAACATGACAAATAATTCGAGCGTCTCAACGAGGACGGAATCTGACGGTAGAAAAGCGAAAAGTGGTTTGAGTAATTACAAATTCCTCCCGTCGCGAACATTGCGCGTGTTTTCGAAGTGCGCGCGGTCCCGGCAATTGTTGTACGATTACAAAGGATGACAATTGAAATCGTCAATTTCATGATTTACGTCAATCAGTTGTCGACACGCAGATGGTATCGCAATATTTAGCGCCGGCGGTGACGATCCGATTCATGTGGTAGAATTTAGGATATGACTCATGTTTATATATCCCTGCGCGCGAGCATAATGATTAGAGCATTACCGCCGAATAACAGGCCATTGCGAGCCGGCAATAACAAAGGGATACTATAACAGACCAATTTTAGCGGCCTTTCACTGTAACGTCCGCGTATTGACCGACGCTTTGACCGTACTCTACTTCTGCGTTAAAGCATTATTGATTGCAATCGGGCTCGCTGTTTCGACGCGCGTAAAAATATTATGCCTCATAGAATACTCATTGTCGATAATGCAACGCTGATGTACTATTTATCGTATGATTGCTTTATCGCCACTCCTCCCACATGAAGGGTTTGGAATTCATTACGTTGCGGTAATAATCCCTCGAAAATATTTAACAGACACGTGGGCTCTCGCTGATGGGAACGATCACGATGCAGTTAACGATTTCGCAATAAAGTTGCACGATAAATCTTGGCTAACATTTGATGAAACACGCTGCGCGCTTGTCAGGTTCCGTCCGGCTCGAGATAATTTAACGCGACAATTTTCTTTCCTCTGGACGACATTTAACGTCGTGATCCACCGTAACTGTACAAAACGTAGATAATTACGAGTTTGTTGCCTTCCGTACGAGTGTTCCCGCGTGCACTCGCGAGCACGTTTGGCCGCGCGCGCGCGCGCGCGCGTCAGTCGACCCTAATTCGGGAACGTACAGAGACCGTGGGCAGAAGCATGGAAAACGAGGGAAGTTTCGTCGACAACCCTCGTAGAATGTACCCTACCTACAAAGCGGCAGACGCGGCGAGGGTGGATCGGGGTGGAGAGGCGAGGCGAGGAGAGGAGAGGACGAGAGGCCGCACCAGGAGAGCAGGAAATTACGTCTCCGGACGTCCGTTCGTTCGGCTTCAGAGCTTCGCGGCACAGGTCTTGAGAGAAACTGGCGGTTCCTTCAGAGAGCACAAACGCGAGGAAAGGCCGACAGGGCAAGGTAGGGCAAGCCACAGCAGAATCGAGAGAAAGGAAAGAGAGAAAGAGAGGGAAAGAGAGACGAGGAGAAGAGGTCGGTCGGTCGGTCGGCCGGCCAGCCGGCCCGTCCATGACCGGGAAAGAGATTCCGACAAAAAGAGTACCAGTACGCGAAGAAGAGTACAGAGACTCCGGACTGCGCCGAATATACCCGGCATCCGTCTTTATCCAAGTGTACTCTGCGAAACGCGAGCGATGCAGCGAGTAACAACTCGCGGATGCTTTAAATCCGCCAACCTAGAGAGCGTAGCGCGTCCGCGGCGCACGTAATGCTTATTTCGCACACAAGCTCGTGGCTGCTTCTTTGCGAACAGCAATTGATTCTTGATTGTGCGACACGATCCAAGTACGTTACCTATCTTTGCGTTAATACGTTCCGTTATTACGGTGCCTGTACTTGAGGCGGCGCCGAAACGCTCGCAAGTTGATTCGCTCGCTCTCACTCCCCTCTGTCTATATAATGACAGGTAAAGTAAACCTCATCGGTTTCGAGTATTCACTTTACTGCAAACTGTCCCCTAGTCTGAATTAATTTCAAGTCGCCCTCGAGCGTCTTTCCTCTATGTTAGATCGTCGCTATAATTACCCGGTCGTGGCGAGGTTAGCGGTAAGGTTGACGTTTCTTGCCGTCCGATACTGCTCGGACGATTATCCTCGTCATTTGCTCCGAGAGCTGGGAATAGATAACGGTATCGGGTTCCCTCTTCTTCCCCCCCCCCCTTTCTCTCTCTCTCTCTCGCTAATTCCTCGCGTGTACCGCGTGTCCCGGATTATAACGTAGGTGGTAAATTGAACCGCCGGAGCGTACGATCGATACGCGACACTCGAGTCCGCAAATCGATCGACCGTCTCTATCGGCCTTCGAATCTCAGCGCGCGCAACGTCATTCGATCATCTTTCTCGTTGTTTTTCCAGCTGACAGCGACACGACGGGCAGACGCGCGTTTTCCTGTGTACATGTGTGCGCGCGCGTGTACGCGGAAGCGGCAGTAACGGAAGCGTGAAATACGAAGTGATTTATCAGAGGAATTTGTTCCACGGTCTCACCCTTCCCCGTTGCCAATTAGGACACGACAATACGGCTGCGTGGGAATTTATCGCGCAATCGGGCTTTAAGGAATTCCTTCTGCAGATGGAAATACATATCATGGTAGAGAGCTACGCTCACGATTAACTCTGCGGTCTAATAGATAAAGATCCGACGGATAAAGTATCGCACGATATCCAAGAGAGAGAGAGAGAGAGAGAGAGAGAGAGAGAGAGAGAGAGAGAGAGAGAGAGAGA